GGTTTGCACTCTCCTCTCCTCTCCCCTCCCTTCTCCCTTCCCCTCCCTTTCCTCTCCTTCACCTCTCCTCCCCTCTGCTCCCCTCTCCTCTCTTCTCCCCCTCTCCTCCGCTCCCCTCCCTTCAAGGGAGTTTTGCCTTGGCACTTTTGGTCTGTGTATATTATGCTTTAATTAGATTAATCCGAGCAGGCTTGGCAGGAGAGAGCCAGCCAGGAGAGACTACAGAGGTGGTGCTGCTGCCCAGGCAGGCCCAGCTGGAACTGCTGCTGCTGGGCTCTGGAGGTCCACACTGCCATCATGGACCTTCTCTGGCTGTCCCTTGTCTTTGTGTCACTCTTTCAAGGCTCAGATTTCTGGGTAGGATTACATGACAAACCAGCAGCCCTCACACTCTGGCTGCCTGGGTGCAGGGAGAAAGATCATCAGGGTCTTGTCCGGGTGCCCCCCAAATTCATACAGAGACGATCTTCCGGGCAGGTAAGGTGCTCAAATGTGGGAGCACTCAATAAAAGCAAATGTCCCCTCCAGGTAGGTGGGCTGTGTGTGCATGCGTGCCAGTGTGTGACGTATATTTTTAATGTCCTAAATCAGGCCCCAGACCAGGTCTCATAAAACCATTAACCACCACAGGCAGGCATTGCTTTTACAATGGGAAAAAAAAAAAAAGAGGACAATCCTTCACTTTTTTGGTAAAAGACACTTTGTGTCACACATGTGGATCAGAGTGAATTGTTCTTTACTCTCTGCGGATTCAAGGGCAAGTTATAGCCAAGGGTCAGTAAGAGAAGGCATGAGTGCCCTGGACAGGTGTGCCTCAGTCAGATGCAGACACACAGTGGGTCTGCATTTCTGTTGAGGGGCGCCATCCCCTCAGTTGTTCTCTTACAGGAGCAACTCAGCCAGTGGCACTAAAATCAGACCCTTAGACACCAGGCAGTAGGACATCAGCGTGCCAGGAGTCACCAGGAAGGCGTGTTCTCCAGGAAGGAGTCTCTCAGCCATAGAAGGGGTCAGTGAGAGAGAGCGCAGGTCTTGGCCTGGGTCAGAGGGGGTGGATCTCACTGTGCCAAGGAACAGAGGTAGAGGAGGGGCAGGGGGCAGGGTGGGGAAGTGATGAGTTCGGTTTGGGACACCCTGAGTCTGAGGCATACAAGTCACTCCCATGCAAGGTCATGACCTCTGCTCTCTCACAGCAACCTGTGTGGCTCCGATTGCAATTAAGTCAGTATTTGCACAATTAGCATGGAATCTCTGCTCTGGATCTCATGCTCCCAGAGGCTGTGGCTCAGGCCCAACCACCTCACTGCTATTTCCCCACCACCTGGCTTTGGGTCAGGCAGAGAAGGTAATCAACAAACGTGTGAGTGAGCACATGCACTCACTTGGAGAGATGCAGCAGGTAGACAGGAAAGGCCTATGTGCAGCTCCAGGGGCTGGAAAGTTCTGGAGAGTTTGTGCTTAGGAAACAGCTGACTGGAGAGCCCCAGGGAGAGGCCAAGAGAGTTGCAAATGTCAAGAGACATAAGCCTGGGCCCCAGGAACCTCCCCCAACATTAAGGGGTGCAAGGAAGAGGTGCAGCTACAGAGAGGCAGAAAATTTGGAAAGGACAGTGTTCTGGAAGCCAAGAAGGAGAATCAGAGATAGGGATGGAGAAGCCGGTGGAGTCAAATGGGGGCAGGTGTTGGCAGATGACAGACACCACTGACTAGGAGCCTGGTGTACAGACGCTCCTTGGACAGCTGAGTGTTATTACTCACTTAGTTCTTCCAACAGCCCTGTGAGGTGGGTGCTCCGCCCCCAGATCAGTGCTCTCAACCGGGACACTTGGGGACACTTGTGTTGCTATACTTGGATACCTGACCTGGGTAATTTATGCAGGAAAGAGGTTTATTTTGACTCAGGTCTGGAAGGTGGGAGTCCAAGATCAAGTGGCTTTATTTAGTGAGGGCTTCATGCTGTTCCAACCCATGGCAGAAAGTGGAAAGGCATGTGAGCCTTTTAGAAGCAAAGCATGCCGGGGAGGCTCCCCTTATGACAACGGGCTCCTGCAAGGTGACCTTAACGACATCACCTCCTCCAAAAGACCCTAACTCTCAATGCCACCACAGCTGCAATGTAATTCAAGATGGCCTTTGGAGGTGGCAAATCCGCTGCCTCAGAGAAGGCAATTCCCATGGCACCGTGGGGCAAAGCCAAGTTGCAGTGCATAAAATGGGTTGCAAGCACGAGGGTCAAGGTCAAGGCCCAGCCCCTTGCTACTAAGAGTGGTCCGGCTACATAGAAGTCACCTGGGAGTGGTTAGCTATGGAGGGCCTGAATCCTCAGGTGACCCCCTAAAACCCCGAGGCGGGATGATTCTTTCAGGAACTTTGGTGGGGAGGGGAGAAGAGAGGAGAGGTAAGGAGGAGGGGAAGGGGAAGGAAGAGGAGGTGGGAAGGGAAGGGAGAGGAGTGGGAAGGGGAGGAGAGGGCAGGAGAGGTAAAGAAGAGGAAAGGGAGAGGGAGGGAGAGTGGGAGAGGAATGGAGAGGAGGTGGGAGGGGAGGGAAGGTGGAGGGGAGGAGAGGAGAGGGCAAGAGAGGTGAAGGAGAGGAAAGGGAGGGGAGAGGAGAAGAGGGGGGGAGAGGAGAAGAGAGGGGAGGTGAGGAGAAGAGAGGGGAGGTGAGGAGAAGAGAAGGGAGGTGAGGAGGAAGGAGAGGGGAGGGGAAAGGAGAGGGGAGGGGAAAGGAGAGGAGGTGGGAGGGGGAGGAGAGGAGGAGGGGAAGGGAGGAGAGAAGAGGGAGGAGAGGTGAAGGAGAGGAAAAGGAGAGGGAGGGAGAGGGTGAGGAGGTGGGAAGGGGAGGGAAAGGAGGGGGGAGGAGAGCGAGGACACAAGGAGATAGACACTCAAAGGCATCACACCTGATTTTTCTTTTTTAAAAAATTTAGCTAGGACATGCATGGTACACCTAGTACAAGGGTGGTACTTTAAAACCTTACATCAGATGACGTCACTGATAGCTTCTCATCACATGTGACTGCCTAGGTCCTTGGTGACCCCGCCTTTCTGCTCTACACTGACTTTGAACATAGCAGGCTCTCTGGTGTTGCTTTTCTACAGCACAGCGATTATGTTCCTGCCTCAGGGTCTTTGCACTGGCCAATTCCATCTCTGGGCTGGTCTTCCTCCAAAACGTGAACCTCATCAAATGTCTTCTCCTCAAAGAGGCCTTCCCTCATCAGTCTCTAGTCCTTTCCTCCGAGTTGTTTTCTGTCACTACTCGGCCATCATGTCATTTGGTTTCTGCACCAGACCACCTATCTTCTGTGGGGCTCTGGGCAAGTTTCTTAACCTGTCTAAGCCTCAATTTTCCCCTCAGTAAAATGAGTAACTTCCATCTAAGGCTGATGATTCTGTAATTGTCAACTTGGTCCAATATGTATGACCCTGGAGTAGACTTCCTGGGTTATTTTGCCCCACCTCTGTCTTGCCAAACCTATCCCCAGCAGTTTCTACTTTCTGATGACCCTTCTGAGAGCTAGCTGAGCACCTGGCACAGTAAATTGTCCATAAATCTGCGCGGATGTTCATTGCACTGTTCCCACACAGAGCTGCCTAGGTATGTGGGGTAGGAAAGAGTTGTGTCTCCGACCTTGCTCGGGGAGAAAGGACTGGGTGGAAAGACAGCGCTCTGTGGGCGCCGAATCATCTCCAAGGCTAGTAATAAAAGTAACTTAACAGGAGGTGAGTGGATCTGTCCATCAGAACTTCCCCCAAAGAGGAATCTGCGCACCAAGGGCGGCCAGAGGCCAAGAATAAGCGCTGAGCTCTTGGCTCCTTTAAGAGGAGAGGCCTCGCAGCCGCGTCCGCAGTAATAATTGGCTGGAGCGGCTGTCAAGCCGCGGGGGGCGGGCCTTGGTTGCTAAGGAACGGCACCTAGGCCTGCGGCGGCTGCGCAGAACGGCGAGGCGCTTGCTGGGGTCGACGGCGCGACGGCGTGGGGGTCCGCGGGGAGGGGCCGCCGCCATTGCCGCCTCGCTCAGGGGCCAGCGCCATGGGCCAGTGCGGCATCACGTCCTCCAAGACCGTGCTGGTCTTCCTGAACCTCATCTTCTGGGTGAGTGGGGCCGGTGGGCGCGGTGCGGGGGAGGCCGTGGCCCTGGGGGGGTCCCCGCGGCCGAGGCCCGGCCTGGAGGCCGTTTCCCGGGTCCGTCGCGGGCCAGCGGGGAGGGCGGCAGAGGGGCCCCGGGGCTGCGTACGGCCTCCGCGCTCGGCCGGACGCCAGACCTCGCTGGCTCGGGGCCGGGCTCGGCGTCCCGAAGCCTGCTGGGCCGGGAGCTCGCCTTGCAGACTGCTTCAACACCAGAGGCCCGGAATGGGGCGCCTCCCCCGCAACTGCTTTCTTTGCCAGCCCCCTCCCCCCAGAACCAGTGAAGGGCCCGGGCGCACGGTGCAGATGTGCGGGGGGCCTTTTGTGTAAGGGGGGCCGATTGGCTGCCGCCCACCTCGCCAAAAAAAACAACAAAAAACCTGAGCCGTTTCAACTTGGGAAGACAAGAAAATGGGCGTGTTTGCTTTGGTCGCGGGGATGGGTCGCCTGTGGGTATAAACCTGAGTCAAATATGATTCAGATGTCTTCCGATCTTGAAATGATGAATTCACTTCCCTGGGGGTAGATGGCTTTGGACCCGCTCTCAGAGGAAGCAGTGTTTATAACTGTCCCATCTCAGCTCATGGCTGGCCTTACCTCCCCCAGGGACTTTGATAATAACCTGTTCCTATCAGGGTCTCCACCCTTCGCTTCTGGACCTTGCATCCAGATAGCTTTTTTTTTTTTTTTTTAAACCTGCCCTTCGTCTCATTGTTTTGTATTATTGAAAAACAACACAAAAGTGCTTTAGCAGTAGAATAAGAATCAGGCTACTTGAAGTAAAACGTTGCATCTGAAGTCGGATGGTTTGGGACCCAGGATGCCCTCAGTGTGGTCCCAAGTCACCTTTCCTCCTTCACAGCTTTGTCATAAGCAGTTGCTTGGCCTGGACAGTCTATGTCCAGTCCCCAAGACTTTCCTTGAACTTTCCCACTAGCTACACTTCTGTGTAACCATTTCCCCATCCTCACTTTCTCCATTCAGCTCCCGCCTCCCACAAATATGCACACATGTTCTGGAAAGAATCCTTTCCTTAACTCCTCTTGTCTCCTAACAAAGAATTCATTCAAATGAATATGAAGCCTTTCATATTGGGATGGCTGTAGCATGAAAGTGACTCATGCCTGTAATCCTAGCTACTGGGGAGGCAGAGATCAGGGAGATGGCCTTTCCAGGCCAGCCTGAGCAAAAAGCTCTCCAGACCCCATCTCAATGAATAGGTGGATGTGTGGTGGCTCATGCTTATCTTCCCAGCTACAAGGGGAAGCACACATAGTATCACAGTCCAGGCTGCCTGGCCATAAAGGGAGACCCTGTCTCAAAAACAGTCAATGCATAAAGGGCTGGCAGAGTGGCTCAAATGGTAGGGCACCTGTTTAGTAAGTGATAGACCCTGAGTTCAAACCCCAGTACCACCCAAGGGAAAAGAAAAGGAAAAATAATTTTCACTGCTCCCCAGGTGAGAAACACTTTGTTAGATGATAAGGTACTTACGAGATAGTAACTTGGCTTTGTACCCATCACAGTTCTTTGTGAATTTATGAGCATAACTGTTTGGTTTTGAAGACTGTATTAGGTGACTTCTAGGCACTTAAAGGTCAGATACTGGGTGTGTTGTTAATGTGACAAAACATTGGAAATTCAGGAACCATTTTCTTTAATCAAATTTTCCTTTACTCTAATAAACCTTCGGAAATTGTGTGAGTGTATGTCCTAACACCTGAAGAAGGTTATATTATTGAACTTCAGAGCTTCAGAGTGAGGTATTTCCAAGACTGGTCATACTGTTTAGTAAAAATATCCTTTATCTGAGTTAGTAGGATAGTAAAACTTTTGTGGGCTGTGATCAGGAAGTTCAGACATTCAGGGAAAAAAAATTGTGGCATAGAAGTGTTAGGTGTGTCTCCTGACAAATTGTTAGTTTATGGACAAATCAATGAAGTCTGATGGTGCTGGAGATAAATGTTAGCCCTTACTCAACACTAAGTCACTGCCAGAAGAGTTTTACATGGGGAGCAGTCTGGCAGGAGAGGTATCATGCTGTTTTACAGATAAAGGCATCAAGATTGCCTGAGTTAAAGTAGCACACCCCAGGTTCAAACCCAGGCTCTACCACGAACTCTTGTCCTGTACTCCAGAGCCTATGGTGTTAGAGCAAGGAGTGAGTTCAAAAGATTTGGAGTCTACGGCCATGCCACCCAGATCTTGTCTGAACTCGGAAGCTAAGCAGTGTTGGGCCTGGTTACTACTTGGATGGGAGACTGCCAGGGAATACCGGGTGCTGTAGGGTTCAACAATAATTAAAAAAAAAAATATTTGGAAAGGGAGAGGAACTTGATTGTCTTGGGCACTAAAAACATACTGACTTAACATTGCTGAGAAACTGTACCAGCACTTAAACTGCACCAATCAACTCATCTGTTTAAAAATTAGGCCCTAAAAGAGGAAGTACATTTTTAAAAAATGTCACTTCTTTCTGGGAGTGCGTAATGCACTCCGCATGTCTAACACGGGTATTCTATAGCGGCCCCTCCTCCTTTTACTGCCTAGAGATGGGTTAAGTGGAAGAGCAAACATCCCAACCTGGGAGCCTAGCAGCATAGCCAAAGTCTGCTATGGGCAGCTTCAGTTACTCCCATTTTACTGGCTCCTTACTACCAGTGCTAGTGACGGATTCTTGATAAAGTTTTAATTGTTTTGGCAAGATCCCTACTTAGACCTTCTAGGATCTTGATAGCCTGGTTCCTTTGGCAGTTTGTTTACTGAGCTGTGATATGGAAACAGATACATACCGGAAAGACTTGGGCTCTAAATAACCTGGCAGCCACAATTGTTAGGGTTGATTTGGTGGACTTTTGGACACCTAAGTGTTTAAGAGATACAGTCATTCCTAAAATTCTGAAAATTGTCTTAATGGTAGAGTTCTTCATCAAACGCTGGAATAGTAAGGCTGTTTCTTGAAAGATGTGCTGCACACATGGGAGGAGGTACAGGGTAGACCTGTTTGTTCTTACATGCAGTGTAGCTTCAAGTATATTAGTGCTAGACTCGTGATCATTTGTTACAGAAGGTTAGGAGTGTTGGAGGTAAGTGACTCAGTTTTGAAGGCTGTCAGCCTTCTCTACAGGCTGCCCTTTGTACGAGGTCAGACAGGAGTCTTAATTTGGTAGGCCATTTGATCTCACCCAGGAGGCCTCATCAGACTCAAGTTGAAATCAGTACTTCCTAAGATGTCTTTATGCTGATAAGTTAATTAGGTACGTGATCACATCCCATGGTTTACAGATCACCTTTACTTTCTCCACGCTATTAGAAAAACCCAGGTGGCCAATACTTACTTTGCATATTTATCTTAGGCAATAGAGCTTTTAGCGAAAACTGGGTTCATGGTTGTAGAGTTTATAATCCCACGTGTCTGTTCAGGCTGTTGTGTTTCATCTGTTATGAGAGGTGATATACCACTAAGACAGCTGTGAGTGGGGCAGTACCATCAGGGCAGTTTTGGAGTGTGAACCTTCACTAATCACACGTATGAGTGTGTACAAATTGGAGTTGGAAGCCATATAAAACTATTAAAGTTTATCCTGCCTTAAAAACTTGTCATATTTTCCTGTGTGAATGTATATCATAAGGAAAATTGTTTTGCTAAACAAATATAACATGAATGTTTGAGCGCCTACTTTTTTCCCAATTCTTGCAGAACTTTCAAGTGGAGCAAGACAGGCAATTAAAAATAAAGAAAAAGCTGGGCAGTATGGTACACATCTGTAATCCCAGCCACTCTGGAGGCTGAGGCTGGGAGATCAAGAGTTCAAGGCCAGCCTGGACAAAGTTAGTAGGGATTATCTCAAGAACAAACAAAGAAGGCTGGGGACATGGCTCAAGTAGTACAGCAAGAGGTTCAGTCTCCAGTACCACAAAAGAAGAAGAAAATAACCCCAAAAGAAACAACCCCAAAACAGGTAGTGATATGTTATGCAGAGAATTAAACCTAGGGGATGTGACAGTGATCTAGTGGCTCTTTAGCTAGCAGAGAAGACGTCTGTGAGGGGTGAAATTTAATGTGGAGTCAAAGAAGAATGCAGCTTGGGGGTGAGTTGTGAGGTGGGGGATGAGGACTGAAGGGACAGACTGTAGCCACTAAGGCAAGGATGTACTTGGTGTATTCACATCACCAAGAGCAAGCGTGTACCTGCATGCTTTTGTGTAAAAACTATCACGGTGAAATAACTTAGTGTTCTTAGCGCGCAAACCTGTCTGTGCATTGGTTGTGTTATCTAAAGCGCACGCTGCGTGTTCAAGTTGCTCGTCTGATGCTTTTCTGTCGTGGAAGTTGTTCTCTACTCGTCTTCTACTTCCTGGGACTGTTCTTATGGAGGCTGTGTCATTGGAACACACCTTCAGCTAACATTCTTCAACAAGTTTCCAGTTCACTACGAGAAAAGCTAACTTTGTCAGGAGGCAAATCACGGCATAAACTGGAAGTACATTTCTTAGTTGGTTTTTCCAGTCTCACTGCGTTCTTGGTCATCTGTCTGCTGACCCAGGGCTCGTGGCTCTGAGTAATCCTGCAGGCCCTGGAAGCATCATGAGGGAGCTCTTTGATGGCAGTTTATTAGCTTTCTGGGATGGTTCTCATTCTTTGAAATAGTTCAGTGAATCTTATGCCATAAAATCCAGTTCTGGTTAGGGGTATTTTTGGTGGTACTGGGGTTTGAACTCGGGGTCTCACACTTGCTAGGTAGGTGTTCTTCCACTTGAGCTACTCTGATCACTTTTTTGTGTTGTGTATTTTCACCTTGCCTGGCTGACCTCAAACTTTGATCCTCCTGATCTATGCCTCCCAAATAGCTAGGATTACAAGTGTGAGCCACAGCACCCTGCTCTGGTTAGGGATTTTTTTTTTTGCAGAGAATTTATTTCATAAAATTTGTACTTGTCACTAAGCAGGAGGTATTCCGTAAGAA